CCCCACTCGCACTGTTCACCTTTTACACACAATGTTTTGTCTGGTAAACCACGATATTTGACCCCAGTTTCATCCACATTGTAGATGTCTCTGTGCACATATCCCTCTACAATAGTAAGCAATTTGGCATTCCATTCATCAACTGTCATGGCTTCGACATCGCCACGTTCACCACTGATAGCGTGTTGTGAAATGTTATGTTTGGCTTTGAATTTAGTGAGCCATCCAGACGATGCTTTGAAGTCAGAAAGACCCAGAGTAGTGGCTATTGTAAGTGCTTTTTCTTGTAATATAGGTCCAGAAACTGGAATTTTCACAGCACGAGCGTTTTGATACCAAGACCATAATGATGCTTCGAGGTCGTCACTCACAAATCTAGAACATATACGTTTTTGTGAAGAAAAGCTGTCATATATTAAAACTTGCGCTTCAAATTTTGCTGGATTTTGTTTGGCCGACATTGAACTTTTCAGCTAATTTGCGCTGGCTTTTATTGCTGGCATTACGTGCTTGAATAACTTTGACTTTATCTGCCAATGGTAGAATTTCTATGTCACGGAGATTTATAAGTGTTTGACAATATATTTGATGTGTGATCGAAATAGAATAAACTGATGTTTTACTCATTGACTGATGCGGTATTTATACACAGCGTGTCTGTCAAAAAAGTATGTGTAAACATTGCCCTTTCAAGTGGCTTCTTTTGTGGCAGCCTCCTATTAAATTCATAACCAATAGAAAGCCTAGATTTCAATTGATTGATTGCAATATGATTCATGCCACGCAATGTTACAGTTAATTGACAATTTAGATGATGAGAACATTTTTCCCACCAGATCATAATGAGGAGCTAAGTTGAATTTCTAACAGCTCAAGTTACATGATTAGAGAACCAGAAAAATTCTGATAGATACCAAACTTTCTCAGCTGTTGACATGTTATTATTCTGTGTTCTTCCTTGCATTATTCACTTAAAGAAAAAAATTTTTTGGACTAGTAGCATTGGTGAAAGTATTAGGCCTAACATAGAAGGACAGTCTAGGAAAAAACAACAACAAGGTTACCCAGGTAAATTTTTTATTATTATAAAAGTATCTAAAGATGTAAAAAATTTAAAATTTTAGGCTAGAGAACGTTAAGTTAGGTAATGTGAATAAAAATGATAATAATAATGATAAAATTTTTAACGAGGTACCCTCGCTAGGACTAAACAGCTCGCGAGTAGCACGAGCTTTATGTAACAATTGCTTCATGTTACCGCGTATTTCGAAACTTTTTATGGCGGGAATTTTAAAAATTACGGTTTCAAAATGCAATAAAATTTAATTAGAAACACCATCAGAGTAATTTAAAAGTGACACGCGCCGAGTGTTGTCAAAAATTGAACACGATTGCAATCAACAACGACCACACCTGTTAATGTTTATCCTAACAACAACAAAACACAGATAGCCTGATGTGGCTTTGCTAGAAGAAAAACACACACACACACACTAATTCTGAGTAGTGCATCACGGTTAAATAAATTGTTGCCCCCAGTGGCACAGCGGCATGTCTGCGGACTTATAACGCTAGAAACCGGGTTTGGATACCCGTTGTTGGCAGAGCACAGATAGCCCATTGTGTAGCTTTGTGCTTAATTACAAATAAACAAAAGTAAATTGTTTTTTAAATTATATTTTCAAAATATTCTACTTAAAAAAAGAAACACTAGTATAAAAGGAACTTCAGGTGTTCCTATTTATCTATTTCACCATTCAGAATCATTGTTTG